TCAAAATTGGTCGTGTAGGTTTTACGTTAAATTATTATATTATTGGAAAATATATAACGTAAAGAACCCATTTTTTTATGACGCGTACATTTTTAGAAGTTGCAAGACAATTGTACGCATAGCTATGTTACTCAGGAGGATATACACCAGTAAGACATTTATTAATTTCTCAAATTATCCCAAACAATAAAACAAACAAACTTTACTTCTTTATATGTATATTAGTCTAGATATAGATAGAAGTATAGATAAGTAAGTAAGTATAAGACTTTGGCTTGAAATCTACTCGCCCCCTTGCCACGTAAAAATATAAAATTATAAAGCAAATCATAAAATAAAATAAAGAAAACACATAAAAAACAAAATAACAATTACCATACAAAATCAACTAAACTCTAACAGTGCTTAAGCTCGTATGTAAACAAACACAATGATAAATTATTAAATATTATTAGGCTCTGTGTAACGAGCACAAAAAATTTTTATTAGTTTTTAGAAAAATTTTTTTAAATTTGACAAAACCAAACGTTTCGACCTGTACTAGGTCTTCTTCAGTGCGCAGTAATCGTTATGATACATAAATAAATATAAAAATAAAAATTCTAATACTAAGTCGCTATATAATGTCAAGTAAATTAAAAACTGATGTCAAAATTAAAAAGCGAAATACATTGACATTAAATTTAAATCATCAAGCATAGCTCGACACGAACAGTCCACACTGAGTGCAAAATCATATAACTAATCCGGTTAATCTATATTATTTTAAAATTATTATTAATAACTCAGAGTGGCGCTTCGAAATTGCTCTAAACCAACCGCTCTTCGTTGGTCGGCGAAAGGCTGTTAGTCCGGCAATGAACTTGTCCATCCTTTCTAAGTTTTTTAAGATGTTATGAACTGAATTTATAAAATTTTTAAAATATAAAGTTAAAAATTGACTTATGTATGTGTAAAAAATTAAGAATTAAAAATTAAAAAATTAGCTAATTGTTGCTTACAGTTGTGTCCGAATAAAGAAATATGACCATGACTCCAATTTTTGCTGAATGTATTACTTGACTGATGTCGCGTCGTTTAAAAAGTTGAATATATAGGTGTCAAGTAAAAAAAAACATAAATATTATAATAAGTCTAACGATTTCCTATTTCTTCTAGAATGTCAAAATAAGCGTTGTTGAGCAATTCAGTGTCTGTATTATTATTTATACCAAGTTTTTGTTCTTTTATGTGTATCATCTCCGAGATAAGTATTTTGTGGTAGTTAAATTCAATATCAAGTATTTTGACGTTATCCCAATCAAAAGCATGCTTTTTATCGATAATATGTTCCGAAACCACTGAATGCTTAGAAGAATCAAATTTGATGTTACTTATATGCTCCTTTAATCTAGTACGTAATTTTCTTTTGGTTTGCCCAACGTATGAGGCTTCACAATCTTTACAATTAATTTTGTAGACGACATTATTATTGTTACTATGCGCATTTTTGTCCTTATGGACTCTGATGAATTTGTTAAGATTATTGAGACAACGGTACCCTACTCTAAAATCTGATTTCTTAATTGTCGATGCCATTGTTTCCGAGATGTTATTAATATAAGGAATGACAAAAAATTTTTTGTCATTTCCCTCTATAATTTCCTTTTTTCCATTGTTGTTAAACTTAAAATTATTTACTACTTTTATTCTCTTATTGATTTGTTTAAAAATTAAATTAATAGAGTAACCGTGTCAAATTAAAAAAAATTTTTTCTAAGAATTAATAAAAATTTTTTGTGCTCGTTACACAGGGCCTAATAATATTTAATAATTTATCATAAAAAACAAAATTTAAATAATAAAAAACATGAAAAATAAAGAAAAATCTTTAAAAAACTAACATATGTAGATTATTAGTTCAAATTTAAAAGTATTAATAGTATAAAAAAATAATATTGCAATTCTAAATAAATAAAAACATAAAAGCTTTAACATACTAAAAACGAAAGTATATTAAGAATAAATAAGCTATAAGAGCCAAACGTGGATGACGTTAATTACACCGAGAATTAATTTTTCGCTGTAACTAAATAATATGCGTCAACACAAATATTTTCTTAGCATACTACTAAGATTTATTTCAGGAAATGTATCTCAATCCGAAATTACTACCCGGGAAAAAGAATTAGCTACCATTGCTAAATTTTAGCTGTCCATATATAACAACCTGAATTTTAGTTATCGTGCCTAAATTGTAGCTGTGGTAATAAATATTTTTAGCCATAGTTTAACGGAGAATGTTATATCTAAAAAATATTAATCGCCATAGCTAAAATTTAAGCATGATAACTAAATTTCATGTGTAATATATGGACAGCTAAAATTTAGTTATGGTAGCTAATTATTTTCTGTGTAAATTCACTTATTTCTTCCTAACCCTTCTGTAAAAAAAAGACGAGAATAATGTTGGTCCGCAAGTCGTTGAATCAAAAATTAAACTCGAGTCTTTCGTATTTAAATTCGAATAATTTTTATTTACTCATCCTCATAAATCCGCAACTACATACCGAGTGCGCGCAGCGCGTAAGAAACAACTCAGTGAGAAATTCGTCGAATCAATGTCAAATTCGTCGAATCAATGACGATTCGATCAATCATTTCTCACTGGGAAGCGTCAGCTAACAATTTATAATCTATACAAATGATCAGTGCCGGATCGAGATATTTTCTCATCCGAGGCACTATTAGCAATTGACGCTTCCTTTCTCAACATACGCACAAACGCATGTCAAAATAACATACGCTTGGTAGGTACTTGAACTGCTACATGTTAATATTATTTTTGCATTTTTATAAAAAAACTTTTTTTAAAAAAATTGTTCAATTTATTGTTCATTTCTATGCCCTCTCATGTCTTTCATCCGAGACGAGTGCTTCGCGCGATCTAGATTCGACTCTGGAAGAAACATTGAAGGGATATTGATTTTATTAATATATTTAAATCATTGTGAGAAGATTCTATGGTATTTAATAGCGGTTGGTCACCAGTCATGAATGAAAGCCAATCGAGTGCAAACATCTATAAGAGGAGAAAACTTACTATGTTAAAAACAATAAAAATATTATGTGTTTTACTAAAAGTATTTATGCTAATGAGGACGGCTCTCACGTCCTCTTCGAAAGATCAAGAATATTGTATAACTCAGGTCAGTTTGCCAAAAATTTATTTTTTTATACACTCTGATTTACACTTAAAGAGTGCTTTACACGATGCTGTTTTGATTTTCATGTACATATATGTGTTAACGTATACTTTAAATGATAAATTGTATATCAATTGGAACATATAAAAACAATAGCTGCTGTGTATATTATTGGCCTTGCAACTGTTTGATTGAGAACGCAATTTATTGTACCGAACTCCTATTTCAATATTTAGTAGTTTTCTACGCATGCAATTTATCCTAAAAAGTTCTAATTTTCCATATTGATTACTTTAAATAATAAATAATTTACTTAAAAATTTTATACAAAAATTAATAAATATAAATATTTGAAAAAAGTTTTAGACATCACAAGAGAATAATGTGAGAATAAATGTATAAAAAATATGATATACATACATGTATGTTTATCAGGTAACAGAAGATATATGGAATGAATAACAAAATCATTAATATTAAAAATTATTATTTGTAACAAAATAATTAAATCAACATATGTTACGTTTGAGTTTAATTATTCATCCCAATTAAATTTAAATGTGTAACAATATAACATTAATCTTTTAATATATGACGTAAAATTAAACTTTACTTTTTTATATCATTAATTTTACATAAATAGTGACATGCAATATTAATATCACAAACAATTTATTGTCTGCAATATGTATAATATATAATTTAATCGCGGCGTTTAATAATAATAATATATAAAGCTCTCGTCAAGCGAATTAACTAAGCGACTAACAGCAGCATCAAAAAACGCTCCGTGTAAAGATGGTAGCGAATAAATAACCAGGCAAGTAACAAATAATTCGGCATCCTGCGCACATGCGAGAAAAATTTTTGCTCAAACGCTTGCGACTTTATTTTTCTTTATCAGCAAATGTGTAAATGATTTAACGGTAACGACTTCGTCAATCAAAAATTCGTATTGAATAAAAAACGAAAAGCTGGCGATAAAAAAAGCAAGCGACAAGCGTCAAATACAGCATCGTGTAGAGCATTCTTTACACGCCGCGATTTCACAATGTTAGACGATAGCGAATAAAAACCGAACATCTAGAAAAAATTTTTATTAGCGAATTCGCTGACGAATTCAAAAGCTTACTCAAAGCGAATAAAAGCAGCATCGTGTAAAACACCCTTAAGTATAGATCTGAGTGTATAAAAAAATTAATTTTCGGGAAACTGACCTGAGCTATACAATCCTCCTGATCCTTCGAAGAGGACGTAAATGCCGTCCTTATTAACATAAATACTTTTACTAAAACACATAATATTTTTAACGTTTTTAACATAGTAAGTTTTCTCCTCTTGTACATGTTTGTACTCGATTGGCTTTTGACTGGTGACCAACAGCTATTAAATACCATAGAATCTTCTCAATGATATAAATATATTAATCAAATCAATATCCCTTCAATGTTTCTCGCAGAGTCGGATCTAGAGCAAGCTAAGCACTCGTCTCGGATGAAAGACATGAGAGGGCATAAAAATGAACAATAAATTAAACAATTTTTTTAAAAAATTTTTTTATAAAAATGCGAAAATGATATTAACATGTAGCAGTTCAAGTACCTACCAAGCGTATGTTATTTTGACATACGTTTGTGCGTATGTAGAGAAAGGGGGCGTAAATTGCTAATAGTGCCTCGGATGAGAAAATATCTCGATCCGGCACTGATCATTTGTATAGCTTATAAATTGTTGGCTGACGCTTCCCAATGAGAAATGATTGGTCGAATCGTCATCGATTCGACGAATTTTAAATTATTGAGAAGATTCTATGGTATTTAATAGCGGTTGGTCACCAGTCAAGAATGAAAGCCAATCGAGTGCAAACATCTATAAGAGGAGAAAACTTACTATGTTAAAAACGTTAAAAATATTATGTGTTTTACTAAAAGTATTTATGCTAATGAGGACGGCTCTCACGTCCTCTTCGAAAGATCAGGAAGATTGTATAACTCAGGTCAGTTTCCCGAAAATTCATTTTTTTATACACTCTGATCTATACTTAAAGTGTGCTTTACACGATGCTGCTTTTATTCGCTTTGAGCAATTTTCTTAATTTGTCAGCGAATTCGCTGATAAAAACTTTTTTCTATTGTAGATGCTTGTTTTTTATTTGCTAGCGTCTAAAATTGTGAAATCGCGGCGTGTAAAAAGTGCATTACATGATGCTGCTTTTATTTGCTTTGAGCCAGCTTTTTAATTCGCCAGCGTATTCGCTGATAAAAACTTTTTCTAGACCCACATTTTTTATTCGCTAGCGTCTAAAATTTTAAATTTGCGGCGTCTAATGTTCGCTGCGTCTGGCTGCGCTAAAGTTGAACATGTCCAACTTTAACGCTCTCGTCAAGCGAATAACTGGGCGACTTTAGCAGCAGCGACAAAAACGCTCCATGTAAAAATGGTAGCAAATGAATAACCAGGCGAGTAGCGAATAATTCGGTATCCTGTGCATGTGCGAAACAAACTTTTGTCAAAACGCTTGCAACTTTATAAGAGCATTCTTTAAGGGTGTTTTACACAATGCTGCTTTTGACGCTTGTCGCTGACTTTTTTTATCGCAAGCTTTTCGCTCTCGCAAAACGAATTTCTGGCTGACAAAATCGCTAGCGTTAAATCATTTACACGTTGCTGATAAAAAAAAAGTTGCAAGCGTTTTGGCAAAAATTTGTTTCGCACATGCGCATGATACTGAATTATTGGTTATTCGCTTAGTTATTCATTCGCTACCATCTTTACATGGAACGTTTTTTGATGCTGCTGCTAAAGTCGCTCAGTTATTCTCTTAACGAGAGCCTTAAAGTTGGACATGTTCAACTTTAGCGCAGCAAGACAGAACAAATATTAGATCCCGCGAATAAATTAAATGTTATATACACTTCAGACAATAGATTGTTTGTGATATTAATATTTTATACTCTGTCACTATTTATGAAAAATTAATGATATAATAAAAGTAAAGTTTAATTTTACGTCATATATTTAAAGATTGATGTTATTTTGTTACTAAATAAAGTAAATTTAATTGTGATGAATATTTAAACTTAAACGTAACATATGTTGATATAATTGTCTTGTTTATGAAAAAATATTTTTAATATTAATGATTTTGTTATTCATTCCATCCCACAGCACAAAACTCAACAGAAATGTTGCAGAAACGTTTCAACGTTTCAAGTAACACTGAAACATCATTATAACATCTAAGAAACATAACATAGAAAACGTAACATTTGAAACGTTTATACAATCTTTCATAAACATATTTGTGTAAAAATAGCGGACATTTTCACATGTTTAAGACGTATATAAAATATTTTTGAATAAATTCTGCGAAAGTCTCTGAAATGTTTTGTGCTGTATGAGATTCATCTTCTGTTAACATGACAAACATACGTATTTATATCATATTTTTTATGCACAGATACATTTTCACATTATTCTTTTGTGATTTCTAAAACTTTCTTTAAATATTTATATTTATTGATTTTTGTATAAAATTTTTAGTAAGTTATTTGTTATTTAAAGTAATCAATATAGAAAATTAGAATTTTTTAGTAAAATTATATTGCATGCGTACAAAACTACTAATTGTAAATGTTGAAATAGAAAATCGGTAAAATAAAATTCCATACAATAAATTGCGTTCTCAATCAAACAGTTTCGAAGCTAATAATATACACAACAGCTATTATTCTTTATATGTTCCAATTAATATACAATTTATCATTTAAAGTATATATATATACGTAAACATATGTACATAAACTCATATAAAAACCCAATTATTAGACAAAACTATTTTAACATTTAAAAAGAACCAGGCTTGTAAGACAAACTGTTATAAATTCTTTATAATTTTTATTAATCTAATCTTGCGTTCCTTAAGCAACTTTCTCTTTAATGCAAGAAAAATCTTTGATACTTAAAAAGATATTTTGATCAGAAACACAATAAAAACAGTTTCTATAAACGGTGTTTAACACAGTATTTTATATATTATACAGTATTTTATATATTGCACAGTAGTGTATATCTATTGTACATATGTATCTAGTTGGATATTTTATAATAATTTAATTTACCTTTATACATGTCATTTCTATAATTATAAAAAAATCGAAAACCGTCATCTCGAAAGAAAAGCAAAGGTTATTTCTACTTGTAATAAAGTTGAACATTGATTTGAAAGTTGGGACATTTATCACATATATATTAATTTAACTATTTGGAATTTTGCATTTATTACTACAATGACTTTTATTTATTAAATTATTTGCCAAATAAGTTTTAATCTAATCTCACATTATGTACTGTTTATCATGTGATTCAATGGAATAGTAGATTTTTATAAGTTATATGATGCATATTTATTACTAGGATAACCCATCCTTCAGATTCATCGATGTCCATGAGTACGTGTCATCAAATATCGGATCTGTTCAGTATTATTTTGAAAACGACACTGTGAGAAAAAGAAATGAAGTCGGTAAGAGTTCATTTGTAAAGTATAAGTATTTTTAAAAGCTCCTATTTGTAAATATTTCAAAATCTAATAAGTTTTAAAAATATGCATATAAATGTATATAAAATGTTGTGTATGTACATTTATTTCAAATCATCAAAATTTATTATGAAATAATATAATCTAAGCATGCGTTAAAATATAAGTACTAATTATTAACTTTTATCGCTTATATTTGTTTAATATTTTTCTCTGAATAACGATTCATGAAAACAATGAGGTTTATACTTACAAAAAATGTTATAATGAGACATATATAAATACAACTAAATGAATTAAAACTTGTAATTTTTGAAGGAAAAATTATATTTTACATTCCGCATATGATTATGATTTTTACAACGTTACCATAATATGCGGTACATATTTAATTTAATTCCTTTTTTGACAGACCACATATGTCAATATATATATATATATATATATATATACATAAATATATATATATATATATACAGGGTGTCCCATAATTTGCGAACCACTGCAAATGGGCAGATAGAGCGTGTTAAACTGAATAGAAAAGTCCTGTATCATTTTGCGATATTCGCATTAATTATTGAGTTATTTACCCAAATATCTAAACGAATGAGCGGGTCGAAAGCGGTACGTTGGACTCGGTGTGCATGTCGGATGACTTATTTGTTATATGCCGCTTAGTATCAAAATTATCATCTTACTTTTCGGCGTTACTACATTGGTCGCCGCTCGCTGCATGACGCCGCCTCTCGATCAAATAATGCTTTCTACCTGCTTATTCGTTTAGATATTTTAATAAATAACTCAATAATTATTGCGAATATCGCAAAATGATACAGGACTTTTCTATTCAGTTTAACACACTCTATCTGCCCATTTGCAGTGGTTCGCAAATTATGGGACACCCTGTATATATATATATATATATATGTATATATATATATATATATATATATATATATATATATATAGGACATTCTTTCTCAAAACGGCCACCCTCCTGCACATTTTATTTCTTGAGATAAATAGCTTTTAAAGTGCTTAAAATTTTCGTTAAACCTACTTTTAAATGCCGTGTGGCAAATGCGGAACTGCCAGATTCAAAATAACGAACAAAGCAAAAAAAGGATAATTGAGCTTCCGCAAAAATTGATTATTTTGGGTTTCGCGAATTTGGAATTGATTTGTTTACCAAATGATACTTTATGATAAGAAATTAATTATAATTGATTTTTAAGTTGAACCGACAATTGGTTTCAGAGATATGAGCGATCAAAGTAGTCAGAATTATGAATTTTGACTAATTTGATCGTCTATGATTACGAGCTGATTACGAGTTGAATACAAGCTATTTTTCTCCAGTAGTTATCCTAACTACTGTTTGCACTACATTAAAATCTCTTTACATCGATTTTCGATGGATCAGAATAATCCCAGTGGAACGGTTGCACAAAGCTGCAAGCGTAATGTGTTATCCTTCACGACGGCCGCGACAAAATAATATACGCGTTTACATGTCTCATAACCCACAAGCATTCAAAAGTACAAGGGACAACGAAAATTTCAGCACTTAAACATTTATTTATCTCAAGAAATAAAATGTGCAAGGAGGATGGCCTTTTTCACAAAGAACGCCCCATGGGAAGTGTTTTGATCATAGGTGATCAAATTAGTCAAAATTCATAATTTTGACTACTCCCATACAGCACCGATAGATTGCAAAAACATTACAACAATCTTTCACCGCAATATTGCAATATTGCAAATTCACTGCAAAATGTTGCTACATCATTGCTGTTGAATTGCAGCAATGTTAAAATGTCCGCTTTTTGGAAGATTGCAACAAAATATTACAACAATATTGCAATGTTATAAATTTGCAATAATGCATTGTTATTGCAACCATAAACTAATTTTGCATATACAGGTATATAAATGTAAATAAATCATTAATGAAAATACGTTGTAGTTAATTTATATATTGTATATTACAATATATAAATTATAGAATTTGGATTACATGCAATATTTCCGAAATATTAATGTCATGTTGCTACAAGTGTGCTGGAATTTTGTGCACCTATATTTCTGCAATGTCTTTATAATGTTGCATTGCAACTTGCAACATTGCAACGTTGCTGCAATACAATTGCAATAATCTGTGCTGTATGGGCTTTGATCGCTTATATCTCTGAAACCAATTTTTGGCTCAACTTAAAAATTAATTATGATTGATTTTTCATCATAAAGTATCATTTGGTAAACAAATCAATTCCAAATTCGAGATACTCAAAATAGTCAATTTTTGCGGAATCTCAATTTTCCGCTTTTTGTTTTGCCCGCCATTTTGAGTCTTGCAGTTTCGAATTTGCCACATGGCATTTAACAATAGAAAGTTTAATGAAAATTTTAAGCACTTCAAAACTTATTTATCTCACGAAATAAATTGTGCAAAGGGGTGACCGTTTTGAGAAAGGATGCCCCATATAAATATATATATATATATGCATGATTTTAAAAACTAGAACGATTTACATACATACTGGACCTTTGCATATAATAGAGTATGAATTTTGCTTCAAGGAGAAATTACACCATCTTCAGAAAACATTCCAAGCGAGCCAACATTTCCTAGAGCATTTGTGGAATTTAACGACAGACTAAATCAGAAAGACATTTTTGTGACATTCAGGTAAATAATAACTCTCAAGGTAAATAATGAATACTTGCTTTCTTAAATCAAGTACTTCTTATTGTTTTAAGTTTTATTGTATATAAAATACAATGTGTATATACAGTGTATATACAGGTGTTTCTCAAGTAGTGTTCAAAATTTAAGAAATGGATTCCTCATGTTTATAGAGAAGATAAAAAGTTTTCATATGAACATAGATCCGAAAAAGATTAGTTTTTTAGTTACTTAGATTTATATATGTAATAAAAAATTTATATCCTATTTCTCGTCTTGCAATTATAGAAAATGTTCAAAATGTCCACCTCCTGTAAACATAGGCCAGCTAACTTAAAAAATATCAAAGTGATAAATATAAGGCCAACTTATCGAGCTGAATATTCGAGATGTTCAGTCAACTACCATTTATTACATGTATAAATTATAAAACTACAGTCATTATATTAAAACTAACGCAAATTACAATCATTCTATAAACGTTTCGACCGCACGCGGTCTTCTTCAGTATAATTATTGAAATATAAATTCTTACAATTCACATGATATCGAAATTTAATTATAGTTATTCAGAATCGAGAGTTTTTGAGCAATTAACGCGTGTTTCAATCCGTCCTGTCCAACAATGTTCGCCTCGATATGATCTCTGATTTTGTTCAGATCTCGGATGGTTTCCTCGGTGAAAAATAAAAATTGTATGGTAGGGTATAGATGTCTCAACAAACTGGATAATATTATTAAAGCGCAGAAAGATAAAACTAAACATCCACGCAATTCGAATGTGGTTTATAAGATCAGTGCAATAATTGTAATGCATCTTATGTAGGCCAAATAAAGAGGCAATTGCAGACGCGAATAAAAGAACATAAAAATAATATTAGGTTGGACTCAACGAAACATTCAGTAATTTCTGAACACATAATAAATGAACATCATACTTTTAATTGGGACAATGTTAAGATCATGGACAACGAAAATAATTATTATAAAAGACTCATTTCTGAGATGCTACATATCAAGGAACAAAAAAATGGACTAAATTTAAACAAAGATACTGAGTTACTTAGCGAGTCGTATTTTGATATTTTGGATATATTAGCGAACAATAAATAATAATAGGACAAATAGGACATTAACGAGTAAAACATAGATATTAGATCATATATAAACACGCACGCTCTCCGATCAAGTAGAGTTTAAAATGAGCTGTCTTTCTGTATTGTTGGTTTGTTATGTGTCATCCTTAATAACTGTTAATAAGTAGCAAAATTGTCAAGAAGGACGATGATAGGTAAGCATACTACCAATTGTAGGGGATATATATTATAATTTGGACATACGTTGATCGGTAATTTTTTATTAATCGCAGCGCCTACGGAACGGGTTAATTTCTCGCATACTAACGATGAAACCATCCGAGATCTGAACAAAATCAGAGATCATATCGAGGCGAACATTGTTGGACAGGACGGATTGAAACACGCGTTAATTGCTCAAAAACTCTCGATTCTGAATAACTATAATTAAATTTCGATATCATGTGAATTGTAAGAATTTATATTTCAATAATTATACTGAAGAAGACCGCGTGCGGTCGAAACGTTTATAGAATGATTGTAATTTGCGTTAGTTTTAATATAATGACTGTAGTTTTATAATTTATACATGTAATAAATGGTAGTTGACTGAACATCTCGAATATTCAGCTCGATAAGTTGGCCTTATATTTATCACTTTGTTTTCAATATACGAGCGACAATTGGTATTAATTTATGTTTAAAAAATATCGTCAATACCTTTAAGCGAAGATTCCTAAAACGAAAAATGAGACAAAAATTATTTGTTACAAGAATTTTAAAACTCAAAAACTAATCATTTCCGGACCTTAAACGGACCTGAACTAATCATTTCCGAACTTATGGGTGTATAACATTTCTTTCTTCTCTATAAGCATGAGAAATCCATTCCTGAAAAGCGAATTATCTCGAAAATATATATTATCAGTTTGATTTTAGATAGCGTTTTTAAGATCATTTTAAGGTCAACCCGATTTTTTAAAATGAAACTTATCTATATGTCACGTGTAATAGATAATTATATGTAAATAGATTTCAGAAGTTGTTAAAAATAAAAAGATAAAATATTTTTATATTCTTTATAGATGGAACGAACCTAAATTTACAAATGGAGTGATACAAAAATATACAGTTCAATATTGGTTTTTTGAGAATCAAATAATTTATAGAATAGTTGTTATAATCTCAAATTTCACGATATTGCAACATAAAGCATACAATTTAAAACCTGATACAGTGTATTATTTTAAAGTACAAGCGCATAACAAATTTGGTGCTGGCTCTTATACTAAGTTCATCAACGTGTCGACCACGCATGAGAATCCAGTACCTTTATTACTCATCTATAATATAACAAGATTGCATGTACTGGATATAGATTTAAAGATCGGCTTTAAACGTGATATATATAAAAGGTGTACTGAAATCGTTTACTCAGCATTGGAACACAAGATTTATGGGATTACTGGCGCAGAAATAATAACATTGGAATTTAATCCAAATGCAATCGAAACAAATCAAAATTATACAATAATAGCAGAAATCGAGGACAATGCATATTCTCTGTGCATCGATTGGATTCGTGAAAATCTTTATTGGTTAGAAAATACTATTGACGGTACTTACATTATAAAACTGGACTTAATATTAGTACAACAAAAAGGCATCAAAACATACGAAAAAATCGCACTGGCTGAAGAGAATGCTTCATTTTTAACAGTATTACCATATAAGAGGTACATTAAATTTAATAATTTAACAAATTGAACAATATATTGTGTTTTTTTTAATTAAAGATTTGTGTTGTTCTATAACTTGTTAATTTAATATGCAAATTTTGTATTAAAGATCCATAAGTAATGCAATCATAAATTTACATAGAAACGTATAAGATATAAATAAACATATATTCGTTTGTGATAGATATGTAATTATAATAATGTTTTAATAAAAGTAAGCAATATAAATATTTTTCAGACATTTATATTGGACAGTAGATTCTTCAATAGTGCAAACGGATTTGAATGGTAGAAACAAATTATATATGGCAGACAATAAATGCTTCTGCCTCAAGACATTTCTAGGATTGCTACAAATTTATAACACTTTTATGACGATTGATACAACGAATATTGACGAGCCGCTAATATATTGGATAATAAACAATGAATATTTAATCGTCACGGATATTAATAGTTGTAATTGCAATATGATTTTAAGATTTCCAAATCAATTTACTTATCGTATTAATGATATAGTAATTGATAGTATTAATATTTACTTGATTACTTATGAAGAAATATATATTTTAAGAAAGGAAAATGCTCTTCTCGAAAGCAAAGAAAACATATTTCAATGTTTTCAAAAATTCCATTACGACTTTTTTGACTTGTTAGCTATTGCAAAAAATTTACAATTATATCCCCCGAAGATATGTCTAATACCTACGAAAGGTAATCGTGTTGAAGAAATGTTAATAACTGCAGACAGCATTAACGTGAACCTTCCGGAGCCGATTCTCAATGATGAATTTAAAAAGTACAACTTAGTTTTTATATATGACATTTCTGTGAGTTATTTCAAATGTTTAGACAATGATCTTAACAAATTCGAAGAATTTCATGTCCAAACGTACGAACAGCAGTACGAATTCCAAAATTTGACGCAATTGACAGAATACACGTTAAAACTGGCATTGAGCAATTTTTACATCTACAAGATATCGATGGATTTGCAATTCGGCCCAGATGTAAAACTGATAACTACGGGCAAGCTCTATGCACCGGATGATGTAGTAGTTCAAGTTGTAATGCCAAATCTGGCGGTAATTGATTGGATGCCACCGAAAAAATTAAATTGCGTGGCAGTGAATTATGAGGTAAAATTGGTAGAATATCCAAATAACACTCAAGAAAATCAAAATTCGGTTCGCTCCATAAAAGTCTTCAATAAGCTAGAACGTAAGACAAATGGCAAGTTTTTCGCGGTAATTCCGTCACTGATACCAAAGCAAAAATACGAGATATACGTGAGTGTGTATCCAATCATTCGGACAGATGTCGTCACTGACAGTGTAATAAAAACAGTCTACATGTCCGAACCAAATAATTTAAGTTTGAATGGGATCGATACAAACAGTATGAATATCTCGTGGATTCCAAGCGTTAATCTGACGATTCCTACTGAATTCCTTATACTAGAATACAAAAATGCTGCGTCACGAAAGAGGATATGGGAAATTGCGAATAATATTAAGGGGAATAATGATAAAATAACATATCACATAGAAAATTTATTGCCGCAAACTAAGTACAAATTTCGTTTGAACTTAAAATATACTCAGTATAATGAAAATTTCATATGGCCGTCTGATGGAAAAGAATTTATTTTTGAAACGCTCGGTAAGCAAATGAAGACGTTATGAAAACATAGATTTACTTTAAGAATGTCTTAAAAGTTTTTTTGCATTAGAAATTGAATAATGAAGTTTTAAGTAAAATGTCTTAATAATAATTGATTATTATGTGCATGAAGAACCGCCAGATAGAATTAAAAAAAAATTAATAAACACCCGACCAACCTGGCAAAAATTTATTAATTCACTTCACAACGTTTAGACCATGATTTAAATCCTTAACAAGTGATTTGCGAAATGTAGTTTAAATTTTAAGAAGTAAGCAAGTGAGTACATTGTGTAAAACTGACATCATGTTTTTGACATTACTTAGCTTAATTTCTTAAATTTTAACTACATTTCACAAATCACTTGCTAAGGACCTAAATCATGATCAAAACGTTGTGAAGTAAATTAATAACTTTGCCAAATTGGTCGAGAGAAGAGTGTTAGTATTTTATTTTTGAGAAATATGTGTCGACCAACTGGCAATTTATTAATCTTATTACGTTTCAATCTTTCCTTGATGTCCATTTCAAGTAATGTAGTTCTTAGATATTATGATAAAATATCTTAAATAAAAAATCCGAAACGAAGAATTGTACTTTTATGTAACAAAGGTGATGCAAGAAAGATTCCTAGCGCAACTGGGACAGCTATGCAATATTATCTGCCATTAATATTATGTCTTATTGTAATCATTGTAATATACAATGTTTACTACTTTTATTGTAGTAAGTATATTTTATATAAATTTTGGATTTTTATTATAAATTGTTTAGATTTGGTATATAGATATACAAACATATAAAATTTGAAAAAGTCAGCATTATTTCTTAAAAAGAATTAAGATATTGCAATGCGGAGCATTATGTCGTGTATTAAAAGTTTTTTTATATGACAGCATACAGGCAACGCAAAAGAAGTAACGAAATAGTTTCGCCTCTAATAATGATCAATACGGAATTAGTACCTTTAAATGAAATATCTTTCGGGTGCACTCAACTAAATTTGCTGAACCCTCCTAGATTGCAATATAATTCAGACGAATTTGCGTTGACCATAATCGAAAAAAATCAAATTATCCAAACAAAGTTTTTAGGTAGCGGCGCATTTGGTAGTGTAGGTATCAATTTCTTATTACTTAAGTAATATTTTTTTTTAATCGTCAAATTGATGGTCAAACATATTTTTAATAAAAGTAATTGTTAAAATTAAAATTTTCTCTGAAAAAAAGTAAATAGGATAAACATTTTTAGCATACATTTTATCGATTGTCTGTTAATTATGTAATATTTCACAGGTATATCAAGGAATCATAAAAATTTTGAGGGTGGACACAACACCAGTTGCAATAAAAATGCTGAAAAGACAAGCTTCTTCGAGAAAAAAAGGAATCTTGAAAGAGGCTAAACTTATGAGCACTTTTGACATAAAAATGATAAGAATATTAGGCATTTGTTTGAACACGAATTCACCGTTACTACTATATTGGAATTAATAGAACCTGGTGACTTATTGAATTATTTAAGAAATAATGGAACATTGCAATCGTCAGATTCGTGCGCGTTGCGTCTGAAAGACTTGCTCGCCATGTGCGAAGATGTTGCTCGAGGCTGTTGTTACTTAGAAAGGCAGCAATTTGTGCATAGGGATCTCGCGTGTCGAAATTGCTTATTATCCGTAAAAAATCATGAAAACCGTATTGTGAAAATCGGCGACTTTGGACTAGCTAGAGATATTTACAAGGATCACTATTACCGTATGGTAAATACAATTACTTGAGAAAGCTAAAATTTTTTTTCTATTTTTCATAATAATACAATTTAAGCTGATTATAACGGTAAAAATAAATTATTTTTTATTTGTATACCTATGAAGAAGGAAAATGAGGTTGATTGTATGCGCATAACGCTTGTTTCTAAATTTCTGAAGGAAGTTCGATAAAAATAACTTAATTGTGTTATATAATTGTGTTTTAGAAAGGAGACCACCCGCTTCCTGTTCGCTGGATGGCACCGGAATCTTTAGTATTTGGAATATTTACTTCACAAAGCGATGTTTGGCTTTCGGAGTACTAATGTGGGAAATTATGTCATTGGGTGAACATCCTTATCCTGGCAAAATTATTCCGAAGTTATAGAATATGTGCGTGAGGGAGGCAAACTGCAAAACCTCTCAACTGTCCACCGATGTTGTATCAGTTGATGCTACATTGTTGGAAATCTGTAATCGGTAGACCAACTTTACAAATTGTCTCAAAATATCAAAACTTAAGAGATAACATAGAAGATTCGATACTTATAATAAGTTCGTTGGATATTTTTGGACATGGAGAGAAGAATCAATCGTAATTCTTTTTATGGGTATATATTTTTGTATAGAGTAATGAATTTTTTGCGATTCTAGATAATATCTATTAAGAAATATTGCTTTTATTTACTTTTGCATACATTTTATAACATAGTGAATGTTACATTTAATCCTTTTTTATTATATAACAATTCAAGTTATGATCTTATTTACAATATGTAGAAATTTTACTATGTTTAATAAATTTTTTTAACTCACAGTTATATACAATACTGCAATCAAGTGGCATTTAAAATATA